GCCGCGTGTCGAGCCGGTTCTGGAAGTTGCGGTATTTGAAGTGGGAGCACGTCCTCTTCCGCACGCTCGAGTTGTATGCGAAATGCCTGGTTTGCCATGGTTTCTTTTGGATGGGCCGCAGGCACCCGTTGATCGTGTGGCCTTTCCTAGTCTCCGAGTGGATCCTCTGCAGCGCAGCGATCTGCCGGGTGTCGGGAGCGGCATCGTGGCGCGAGGCGGTGATGGGATACGCCTTTGTCGGACCCAATCTTGCTCTCTTCGTGGACAATCCAAGGTTTGCCAAGAGCGCCAGCCTTCTCACCCGTTACCACGACGAGATACGGGTGTTGGAGGTATTCGTGTTCTGTTGCTGGCTTACGATCAGCTGGTCGCTGGACCCCGAGAGGAGGTCCAATCTCACGCCCAATGGTTTTTATCCTATCCCAGAATTCTTTCGACCGTCCACCTACGTAGCCTTCTGGGTCGGCGTGTTCCTGATCGCGCAGGCTGGTTGCATCTTGCTTCGCTGTCGCTTGCTATCGGGCACTCCCTCTTCGCAGGTCAAAGGTAGCCAGGACAGGACGCCTTCGCCACAAAACTCTTCGCCGAATTTGACGGCTCCCTCCCCGATCATGGGCAAGCCTGCCGATTTCGATTTCCAGCGTTGGGAGAGCACTGGGCTTGGTGCCTACCTGTTCACGAAGGGGGTCGGGGACCAGTTCGAGTCCCTTTTGGAGATCATCTGCGAGAGCTCCGAGGACAGGCTGAAACTGTCCAGGCTGAGAATTGTCCGGCAGCTGGGCGAGGGCGGTTTCGGGCGCGTGTTCGAAGTGCAGGATTGCCGACACCGCCGCGGCGCCAGCCAACGCAGCGGTGTTTATGCGTTGAAGTTGCAGCGAAAGAGCGCCGCCGCCAGCGTCGCCGTGCGAGAGGCGGAGATGATCCATGAGTTAGACCACATGTACATCGTTGGATTGGTCCGCGTCTTCCATACCAACGCCTTCTACTGTATCCTGATGGAGCTGTGCGAGATGGACCTCAACAGCCGCATCCTGGCCAGTGTGGACGGCATGGGCATCGCCGCCGGGTTGCCCACCACGCAGGTGAAGCACTATTCCGCGTGCATCGCCCTTGCCCTAGAGCACCTCCACCACAGGGACTTTGTGTTTCGCGACCTGAAGCCAGAGAACGTGCTGACCACGGCGGCAGAGAACTGCTGCGACGGGCACAGCAGGAGCCACGCCAAGCTGGCGGACTTCGGGCTGGCCAGGTCCCTCGACCCCCGCCACCTGGCTCTCTCCCGCAAGGAATTCTTCAGCATGTGGTCGGGCACCCACGCCTTCATGCCCGACGACGACTACCCCGAGGGCCTCCAAGCGAGCGACCCCAGGATCCGCTCGGCCCTGTTCACCCGCGACTGGTACGCCTTCGGATGCTGCCTGGTGCTCATGCTGCTCGGCGAGCGCGCGGCGCGCACCGTGAGCCACGGTACGCGCCACGTGCTGCTCCCGCTGGCCCCGGAGACGGCGCGCGCCCAGCTGCCAGAGCGTGCCGGCGCCTGCGACGCCGACGCGCACGAGCTGGTGCTCGGGCTCGTCGCCGAGGCGGGCCAGCGCGCGGGAGAGGCCGCCGTGCGCGCATGCCCGTTCCTGACTCAGGCGCTGGCCGAGGCGGAGGAGCTCCGAGGAGGCAAGGTTACCGATACCGCGACACGCCAGTCGTTCAAAGTAGGTGTTTTGGGAGGTCCAGAGCCCAGTCTACTTCAAGCGCCTTCCTAATTCAGGAATCAGATGTGTTTGCTGTTCGTTGTTACTCTGTGGGCGGGCCCGAACCCAGTCTGCTTAGTCCGCCTTCCTGCTTCATATTTCTACCCACCTGTTCCGACTGGCGGGTACCCTTCCCTCGTTCTCCCCTCTGTGGGCCTCCTTGGAGGCCCTCGTCGCCACCGCTGGATTCGCCTCGAAGTTCTGGTCAGAACGCACCCTGCAAGAGGTCTGGGGATGTAGCGGTATCAATACCTTCTGGCCCCGCCAGGAGTTAGCAAAGAAGAGGCCCTCCCGCTCACAGCCCCGCTGCAGCAGCTTCCGGGCCTGCATCTGAGTTCTTGGGCCTGCTGGGCCCCCCTGGTGCCTTGGGCGATCGGCCAGCAGCCAAGGGGCCCACGGCTGGCGGGCCGTGGGCCCCCCGGGGAGGAGGAGGAGGAGGAGGAGGAGGAGGAGGAGGAGGAGAGGAGGAGGAGGAGGGAGGAGGAGAGGAGGAGGAGGAGGAGGAGAAGGGGAGGAGGAGGGAGGAGGAGGAGGAGGAGGAGGAGGGAGGAGGAGGAGGGAGGAGGTGGAACCGCGCAATCTTTTTGTTTAAGTCACTGCACCGCTCATTCTGTTCGCGTCACACGGGCTCTGTAATCGGAGCGGCGGGCGTGGCCGGCATGGGGTCACAGAACCGCGTTGGGTCACGGGGTCAACACGGGGTCACACCCGCCCCGTTGGGCTCCCGAGGGATCCCCCCGAGAGCTCCCCCCGAGGGGGGCTCCCCCCCCGAGGGCTCGCGAAAGGGGTCACACGGCATGCCCGCCAACACGGGTGTGTGACTGCCGCAAGCTGGCAACGCTACAAAGTGGGCGCGGCCGCATGTTATCCGTGCGCGAGACTTGCGCGATGCCGCGGCCTCAATTTCCTGGTCCTAGTTGGGCCCGAACGCTTGTCCGAAGTGGTGGCTCGTACGGCTGCCTTGCGGTATCTGGTGCTGCGCCTGCTGAGGCGGCACCATCCTTCTTTCCCCCCCTTTCTCTCCCTCGCTTCCCCCCCCATCAGGGGCAGTCGCACTCGGCGGAATACAGGTGACCAGCTCCTGCAGTTTTGGTTTTGTCTTGGGGGACGCGTACGGGAAGTGACCAATCAGGGCGGCTGCAAACCGGCGTGGCCTATTCAAGCAGCCGGGCTCGTTTCCTTGATGTGGTTTCCTGCAGCAGCGGACCTTGCGCGCCCATGTACAGTAAACACAATGGGCCATTTGAAATGCGAGTTGAAATGCGGAAAATGTCAACAAAGGAGCAGGGCATGTTGAAGAAAGTGGAGAAAAATGAGCGTGTTGCACTGTACGGTGTCATTTCGTATTAGCGCGCATTTGCTAGTGAGGTCATCTGGACCACTTTGAGACAGCACGCAATGTGCAAGGAGGAGGACGAGGAGACAAAGGGAGGGAAGGAGGGCTGGCCTAGGACAAAGTTAGCGGGAGGAGGGAAGATGAAAAGGGACGATGATTCCTCCCCCGCGGCGGCGACCACAATTGAGCCGTTAGGAGGGGACGAAGACTGGGATGAAGGCCATGGGTGATGGCCAGGTGGGAGAAGAATGGGGAAGGGACGACGAGCGAGGACGGAGGAGGGAGGCAGCAGGAAGCAGGAAGCAGGGCGCAAGAGAGAGGAAGGAGGAGAGAAGGACGAGGGAGGGAAAGAGGAGAGAAGTGGGGCGAGGTGGCTACTTTTTACGTTCGAAGATTCAAATCGCCCCTAGACGGCGATGGTACTTCTCCTCTCTTCTTCCGGCAGCATTGGTCTCCGCGGCCTTCTCATCCTTGCCATTTGCTGTAATGGCGCTTAGGTTTGCTGCACGAGCTGTGAGGGTAGTGCGGCATGCACCCGCCAATAGCAGGGGGCACCATTCCCGCTCGCACTGCTGACATTGCCTGCTGCATGTTGTTCCAACTCGAAAAAAAGAGGAGAGAAGTGGGAGGACGAGAGAGGAGGGGTGACTTTGGAGGGGAGGCAGGGCGAGGATCGGATCGGCCATCCGCGGGAGTGGCCGCCAAGGGGCAAGCAGCCGGGGTGGCGCAGCATTACTGAGCACCACAGTCCCGAGGGGGAGGAGGGCGGCAGGAGGGAAGCCGCGGACGTGGGAGAGGGCACGCCGGAGGAGGAAGAGGGTAGAGGGATGGGCAGAAGCCCGCGAGGAAGGGGCTTGGGGTCGAGGGAGGAAAGGGGACGCTGGGTGGGGGAAGAGGTGAGGAAGGAAAGAAGGGAGGGGCACGGTCGACCAGGAAGGGATGCCGGTGATGCTGGCATCCCCTCCTGGTCGACCCAACGGGAGGGAGGGAAAGAGGGAGGAGAGGCGTACATGAGACAGGACGTCCAGTCAGAAGCCTCCAAGACGATGCTTCCAAGAGGTCTCGTCAAAAGCTCCTGGGACCTTCTGTGAAGGCCTGTGCCTTCGCGTCCTTCTCAGAAGGCCTCCCCCATCGCGCCGCCCCGTCCCGTGCGCCGCCAAACGTGGGCGACGGGCTGCAAGTTCTCTCCAGGTCTTGGGATCGAATGTGTTCGGACAGTGCTTGATTGACAGATCTGCCGCACCTGATCTTAGTTCGTCGGGGCTGCTCGACGTGCCCTCCGCCGACACAGACAGAGCAGCTTGCTCTCCTGGAGTGACACCAGCGCTTCTCTCCACCTCTTCCTGTGGCAGTCGCGATGCGGTGGCTGCACCTGTTCGCCGCGGCGTCAGCGCCAGCCCAGGGTGTTCTCGTTTGTGTGTTTCTTGTCTCTCCCAGTCTCGCCCTCTTCGGCTTTGCTCTTCTGCGCGGTGGGACGACTAAGTTCGGACTGCCACGCTGACGGACCCCCCCCCCTCCCTCTGGCTTTTGGCCGGGGCGGTGGGGCAGGACAGGTGACGTGACGATCATGCGCTCGTACGGGCGTGCCGGAGCACGCCCTGCCCCTTCCAGGGCAGGATGCCCGCCAGAAGCTCCGCTGCCGGGCATCTGTTGCTCCCTGATCTAACGATCTCGGGACTCCAACGCCACGGATCAACCGTGGGGGGGGACCGATCTGTCGACGCTCAGCGCTGACTGGTATGGATCGCCGCCTTGGAGCAATTGCACTTCTGTTCGTGTGTGGCCCACGTGGTCCGTCCCCGCGGCTACAGCCCAACGCGGGCCACGCAGCGGGATGGGAGGCTCACAGGAGGAGAAGCAGCAGGCGCAGGATGAGGAGGCACCGCGTGAGCAGAAAGCAGAGGGAATTCTCTGCACAGGTGGCCAAGGCGATCGAGGAGCTGAACGGCAAGGAGTTCGGTGACCCACCGGTGGCCCTCGAGGTGGACGTGTGGGTGAAACAGGCATCGAAGCGGACGTTCGGGTTCTCCCCATGTCACCCCTCTTGCCTGGAAGATGATGGTTCCTTTTCAGCCTGTCTCCAACTCCAGCTCGGCATGGCCCGCCTCACCGCCCTCTCGCAACTACAGCTCAAGTCACCGAAGAGCCCCACCATGACTGCCTCATCGTACAGATCCAGCGCAGAATAATTTGGTGCGTCGGAAACGCTCTGGAGGTAATGACGATCCCGAGCTTGCATTGTCTGGCCACGGTCGAAAAGTGTCGCTTCGGTGTCAATACACCTGCGACGTCCAGGCAAATCAAAGCGTTTACATGCATGCTGGGGGGGTACTTCAGAGGCACGCGATAGATACGCCGTAAGAACCCGCGCTAGCTTAGCCCGGATGCTTCGCAGCCATTTAGCATTGTCAATAGATCAGTAATCACATGGACACACCAGTGTTGTAGGGGCGCGGCGGCATCATGTTTACCCGAGAGATACATGTTGCAAGCCACGGGCAAAGTATTGTCCACATAGTTTCGTGTTGGTTGATGCGTGGCCGATCTACTGAGACTTTGGGATCCCCGTCGTACTCAGAACACGTCTACCTCCGAACCGCATGGTACAAAACAAGAGCCACGTCGTATCTACTAGCGCGTCTTATTCTAGAGGCTTACGCCATTCCGCCGACCCCTAGAAGAAGAACGCAGTCGACAGGTGAGGTCTTTGAGGTCTTTGGGGGCCTCTTGTGGGCGTCCTGGGCGCGTCTCCGGGCTTCGTGGGATTTTCTTGGGCATCGCTGGCGGTGTGGGTGGGGTCCTCTTGGGGCGGAGGGCTCGGAAGATTAGTGCGAGTTAGCTTTCCTTGGGCCTCTCTCGAGGCCCTGCTGGGGCTCTCTGGGACCATCTTGCGCGCCTCTTCCGCTGTCTTGGGGCGCTCTTGGGGGCTGCTTGAGCCGTCCTGGAGCCATCTTGGGGACCTGTTGAGCCGTCATGGACGGTTGAGGGCGTGCGTGCGCGAGCTGAAATCGGGGGTGATTTGTTCTTGTCTGGGCCACCTACGGACTGACGAGGCGAAAGGGGAGAATGAGGGAACGAAGTTTTTCGGGAGCGTCAATGGGGTACGCTGCAACTTGTTGTTGCTGCCGCATATAAAGAGAGCATGCCCGGGCGAGCCCGAGCCCGAGCCCGTGCCCGAGCAGCCCGAACCCGATCCTGAGCGCGTGCGTTTGCGCGTGCGCGCGCATGGCGTGTCCGTGTGTGCGCACGCGTGTGCGTGCGAATGTTTGTCCGCCTGCGCGTGTTCGTGCGACCTGTGCAGGCGCCTCTGCGTGCGCCTCTGCGTGCGCGTGCGCGCGCGCGTGCGCGCGCAGGCTCGGGCGCGAGCCCATAAGCCCGAGCGCGAGCCCGACCCCGAGACCGAGCACAAGCCGAGTCTGAGCGTTCGCGTGCGCTTTCGCGTGGGCGTGCGCGTTCGCGTGTGCGCGTGCATGCGTGCGTGCGTGTGCGCTTCCGATCGGTTAACATGTGATCCAACAGCTCACGATATACAATACTCACCTGATTTGCTAGTCAGGCAGATATTTTGCCAGCGACGTGTCTGACGGGCTTCAGGTGGGTTCGTGGTTTGAGCGCAGGTCGCTTTAACTATCCTTTCAACCGACAGCCCACCCCACTGTCGGCATAGCATTCTGGAATTACTTTCTTTGCCAAAATTGTGTGCTGGAGCCCACGCCGTCGGCTGCTGGAACCACTGCCCCTCGTAGAACTGGGCGCAGGAACCCACCCTTGTCGTCATTAGCTGCTGGAACCACTTCCACTCGTAAGAAATTTGGTGCTTTTAACCTCACCCCGCTTAGGCCTTTAAACTATGAAAAGGGCGAGGGTGCGGGGGATGCGACGGGGCCTGGGGGTAGGGGGTCCTAGCATTGTGGTCACGCCTCACTCCCAGACAGGGGGGGGGGGGGGGGGGGGGGGGGGGGCACTTCGCGCGCGCGTGCGCGCGCGGCGCGCGAGAGTGCCTTGGTTGCCTTGGCGAGCCCAGTCCCGAGCCCGAGCAGCCCGAACCCGATCCTGAGCGCGTGCGCGTGCGCGCGCGCGTGTTTGTCCGTGCATACGTGCGCGTGTGCGTGTGCGTGTGCGTGTTCGTGCGCCTGTGCGTGCGCCTGTGCGTACGTGCGCGCGCAGGCTCGGGCGCGAGCCCGAGCCCGACCCCGAGCGCGAGCTTCAGACCGAGCCCGAGCCTGAGCGCGTGCGTGTGCGCGTGCGCGCGCGTGTGCGCTTCCGATATGTTAGCATGCGATTCGCCTCCGCATCCTTCCCAAATTCCCCCAACCCTTTCACCCCCACCCTTCCTCTCTCGTCTCTCCTGCTCCTCTTTTGTTCGGCATCCGCATGCGCAGCACCGCGGCGGGGCCGACAGGTCCTGGCCGACGCGCGCGCCAAGTGGAGTTGACACGGCAAGGTAGAGGGCATCGACGGGGCACACCTCAGATCACTCGCCCGCGGAGGACCACGCAGGGCCAGTAGGCGCCAGAAGACTTTCGTCCTCCCCCCCCGAGGCGACGTTCGTCCTTCCCCAGTAGGCTTAAGTCGGGCATGTCCCCCTACAGGGGGGATATTCGACGAAAAGCTTCAAAGTTTCAAAAAAATGGGGCCTATGTGTTGAGTATTGTTGTTGCCTGTTTGGGGTATGTTTGGGGTACTTTTCATGTTTCGTCGAAAATCCCCCTGTAGGGGGACAGGCCCGACGTAACAGTGGGCACACCCTCACGCCGCTCGAGGCGACGGTCGGCGAGCGCGCGCGCCCCGCAGGCCAGGGAGGACGGCGCCGCGGCCGAGCAGGGCGGCGCGGCCGAGCAGGGCGGCGCGCCCGCCGACGAGGGCGGCGCGGCCGAGGAGGAGGGCGCAGCGGCTGAGCCCGCCGCGGTGGAGGCGGGCGTGGGAGGAGGGAGGGGGGCATGGGGCGGGGGCCTATGGGCAGTGAGGGAGTACGCTTATGTCGGGCGTGTCCCTCTACAGTGAGATTTTCGACGAGAAATAAAGAATACCCCAAAAATACACCAAAAAGGTCTTAAAATGCTCAAAAATAGTCCCCATATTATGTTTGGATTATGTTTGGACTATGTTTGGGGGCATGCTTTATTTCTCGTCGAAAATCCCCATGTAGGGGGACAGGCCCGACTTGAGAGTACGCAGGTGAGCGCAGATCGTATGCGAAGACACCGTGGAGCAGTTTCATGCAGCCCGTGGGGGAGCACGTCGCTCCGGGCCCTGGCGTCGACGTCCATCGGCGGCGAGCGAGGGGGGAAGTGAGACGGAGAAGGCCTTCTCGGAGGGCGGCGAGGCTTCCCGGAAGCCCTCGCGCCTTCTGAGAAGTCGTTTCTGTCCTCGGGGAAGGCTTCGAAAACTGCTCTGAAGGCCAGGAGACGTCCGAGCCTTCTGAGAGGGCTTCCTGAGTCTCACTTCCCCCCCCCTCGCTCGCCGCCGAGTCCAATGACCCAGACTGTGCGCCGACTTGGTTTTGCTAAGCTCTAGGGTAAGCATCCACGGTGTCGATCTTGATTGGCCTGTGATAGCGATCGTCGGAGACCCCGTTCTGCAATCGATTACCCGGTCAACCCGCTCGCTGCGTCGTTCTCGCGGAGCGCCCTCGGCGACGGCAGTCAGGTAGTGTGCATTTCGGCGCGCGAGGACGGAAGAGGCCACAGTGGGCCGCATTGGGACTTGGGTGGTACCCCGAGGGCCGCCTTCAGGAGGTACACGGCCGCCTCGGCAAGCCAGCGCTTCAGAGTCAAGAGTAAGTAGTGAGTCACAGAGAGGAAGCCAGGTTGCGGCCTCAACGGGTTGTGCGGCCACCTCGGCTACCGTGAAAGTATGAGAAAAACAGTGTGTCTGACTTGCGTTTTAGCCAAAATGGCCGGCAGAGTCACGCCAAGGGCCAGTCCGCATGCTGGCTTTGTTTCGCATTGCATTGGGATTGATCCCCGCTCCCAAAGTCATGGAGGCGTGGGTTCGCACCGAATTCCTTTGAGAGCTGGACGCTTAGTTATGCTACACGACCGTTGGCTCATATACTCAGCTGCGAAGTGTTGTCTAACTGTTGTGCAATCGTAACTGCCAACAGTTACGCCCCATGCGGCAAGGTTACATGCACAGGTTTGACTCAAGGCTGGCTCCTGCCAGACGTCTGCCTAAACCTAGAAAGGGTCCACGTTGGCGATCTGCAGATGCGTGATCCACGCGAGCTGTGGGGACCTCCATCCGTAGCTGCATCTATTGTGCTTTCCTTGGCAGAATGTCTGGCCCGTGACTCGTCAAGTCACCGAGCGAGCGTCGCCGCATCTACCCACACGCACACGCTCCCCATCGGGAGCCGCGGCTGGACGCTGCGATCGTCCGCACCTCGCGTTGGCGTGCTCTACTCAGGTTCCTGGGCGCGGCGTGGTGCCTCCGCGGGTGCAGGTGCAGGCCACCTCGCTGTCGCTGGGGCGCGTCTGCCAGTCCAGGGTGTATCGGTGCCGTTGCATGGACCCAGCCAGATGCCCCTGCTTCTGCGTGGCACCTGCGCGCCAGCCCCGCACCGCATGCAGAAGACCACAGCGTTCTCGTCGCCGCAGGGCCCTCCTGCTATGGTATAGCTCCCCCGCCTCCACGGCACTGCGTGGGCGGAGTGGCCCTCTGCGCCGTCGCCCAAGTTTCGCCTCGGACCTCCTTGGCCGATGTTGCCAGGCGATTGCGGGGTCGCAGAATCGCCGCCAGCGTCACACTGGTCTCCGTTGCACGCAGCCTCGTCGTCCCCTGCGCTAGCGCTCAAGCCCACGGAGTTGCTGACTTACGATTCTTGCAGGTACGCATGGAGGTCTCCAAGCCAACTCGACATCTCTCTCGCCCGGCGTTGGCACGCCGCGGCGGAGAGGCGCGATTCGGCGGAGGAGGAGGGAGAGAAAGACGAGGCGGAGGATGAGCGACCATCTGATCAGAGATCGTGCATTGTAGAAAGGCGGAGGAGGAGAAGGAGGAGGAGGAGGAGGAAGAGGAGCAGGACTCAGGACTCAGGACTCAGGTGTCCGCGGAGCGATCCCATAAAGGAACCTCTGCCAGTGGCGTGCCGCACTCGAAATCAGGTTGCAGGTCATAGAGAGCCCGCTCAAGGCGGGCCTTAGACGTTGCGAAAAGTCGGGAGCCCGAGAATCAGCGATTAGCGTTGGACCCATCTGTCGTCTGTCTGGATCAGACGGCTTGTGGCTCAGGGCCCACCGCGGACCCAACTCAGCAGGCAGCCCCGCTTCTGTGTGTCTCTCAGAGTCTGCTCCGACGGCACCAGCGACGGTAGCAGCAGCACGCATGGACGAACCCAACACCTTCGGCACGCCCGTCAACTCGCCTCGCGGAGGCGACCGCAGTCGCAATCAGTGGGGAGCACGGCCGTGGTGACAATGACCGCCGCGGTGCACAGCCGGCAGCCCGAGCAGCAGTAGCCGAAGGTCGACGTCAAGCAGTCCAATCCACAGCCAGCCGTGGCAGACGCTCAGCAGTGTCAGGTGCGACGGGTGGCAGCGGCACACCATCAGCAGTGCACCCTCAGCGTCCTCAGGGCGTTCACGTTCCTCCTCTTCCTGGTGGTTAACATCATGACGGGCAGCCCCAGCATGACCCTGACATCCGCACTTACGTCTATGCCGCCAAGCAGACGCTCATGGAGGCCATCGGTGGCATCCAGGCCTCTTTGTTTGACCAAGCCACCATTGTCCAGTTCTCCTGCACCACCTTCGGCGAGCAGATTGAGCGAAGGATTGCTCGGCGGAAACCACGACCCGCATGCAGGGCGAGCGCGTCGTTGTTCTTGAGAACAAGATCAAGCGTCTGGAGGAGATTCTCGACATCACGCAGAGTAAAAGACCAAGAGTACAGCCGATTCCCGACGAAGGGCTCTCTCATTAGACCCTGACCCGACCATCATCGTCGCCCGCACGAAGACTATGGTGCAGCAGCAAGCGGTCGCGCAGACAGCCAGTGCTTGGTTCCAGCAGTTGCAGGCCCCCAGTGAGGAGATCAGAGTCGAGATCGACACGTCGGACACAAAGTTCAAGATCCGCTTCCTGGACAACGGCAACCTCGCAGTCAAGCGTGTGGCCAAGGCAATGTCTCTCCTTCGTGGTCGTGACGGCCCGTGGACCCGCTTATCCGCTCCAGATCGGATGTGCAACCAAGCGGAGGTCTACGCCTCGCAACAAAAGCTCATGCATGGTCAGAACGGAGATATCTCTCAAGAGGGCGAAGCGTGCCATGGACTCTATCCTCTATCTACGGCGTGGCCCACCACAATATCATGATCTGCACGGACAAGAACCAGGGCGCGATGTCAGCGAATTGGAACCAGTTGCCCATGATCACCGTCAGCGGTCCAGGTGTTTCACCATCAGCCCATTACGCGGACGACCATTTGCACGGGTTTGGCATTGTCAAGGAAGCTATCACGACGTGCTTGGACTCAGCACTCTCGAGCAGGTCGCAGCCCACACGGCGGTGTGCCTAACGCTTCTTTGTCCCAACCCTCTTTGGGCATTCGCTTTGAATAGAGCACTGCTCGCGCGTCCTTCTTTCCTTCCTTCCTCCCGCCTCCTGCCTCCTGCCCCCCGCCCCCCCTCCTTCTCTTCTCTTGCGCCTGGGGGCTGCGATCTGCGAAATTGTCGCCACTTTCGAGGGCTGTTGTTGGGTCCAGCGGAGTGGGGCACCGGGCAGACCTGAGCGGTAGCTCGCCGTCCTTTGGGGGCTGCGGTCTGCGAAGCTGTCGCCTTTTTTCGAGAGCTGCTGGCGGGCCCAGCGGAGTGAGGCACCGCGCAGATCTGGGCGATCGCTCGCCGTCCCTGCGGGGCTGCGATTTGCGAAATTGTCGCCATTTTCGAGGGCTGCTGTTCGGTCCAGCGGAGTGAGGCACCGCGCAGACTTGAGCGGTAGCTCGCCGTCCTTGGAGGGCTGCGATCTGCGAAACTGTCTCCACTTTCGAGAACTGCCGGTGGGTCCAGTAGAGTGAGGCACCGCGCAGATCCGAGCGGGACCTCGCCGTCCCTGGGGGGCTGTGATCTGCGAATTTGTCGCCACTTTCGAGGGCTGCTGGCGGGCCCAGCGGAGTGAGGCACCGCGCAGATCTGAGTGGTAGCTCGCCGTCCCTGGGGGGCTGCGATCTGCGAACCTGTCGCCACTTTTGAGGGCTGCTGGCGGGTCCAGCGGAGTGAGGCACCGTGCAGATCCGAGCGGTAGCTCGCCGTCCTTGGGGGGCTGCGGTCTTCGAAAATGTCGCCACTTTCGAGGGTTGCTGGTGGTTCCAGCGGAGTGGGGCACCGCGCAAATCCGAGCGGGACCTCGCCGTCCCTGGGTGGCTGCTGTCGCCACTTTCGAGGGCTGCTAGTGGGCCCGGCGGAGTGAGGCAGCGCGCAGATCCGAGCAGTAGCTCGCCGCCCCTGGGAGGCTGCGATCTGCGAAACTGTCGCCACTTTTGAGGGCTGCCGGGCCCAGCGGAGTGAGGCACCGCGCAGATCTGAGCGCTAGCTCGCCGTCCCTGTGGGGTTGCGATCTGCGAAATTATCGCCACTTTCGAGGGCTGCTGGCGTGTCCAGCGGAGTGAGGCACCGCGAAGATCTGGGCGGTAGCTCGTCGTCCCTCGTGTGCTGCGATCTGCGAAACTGTCGCCACTTTTGAGGGCCGCTGGCGGGTCCAGAGGAGTGAGGCAACGCGCAGATCTGAGCGGTAGCTCGCCGTCCCTGGGGGCTGCGATCTGCGAAACTGTCGCCACTTTCGAGGGCTGCTGGTGGGTCCAGCGGAGTGATGCAGCGCGCAGATCTGAGCCGTAGCTTGCCGTCCCTGCGGGGCTGCGGTCTTCGAAACTGTCGCCACTTTCGATGGCTGCTGTTGGGTCCAGCCGAGTGAGGTACCGCGCAGACCTGAGCGGTAGCTCGCTATCTTTCGGGGGCTGCGATCTGCGAAACTGCCTCCACTTTCGAGGGCTGCCGGTGGGTCCAGCTGAGCGAGGTACCGCGCAGATCTGAGCGGTAGCTCGCCGTCCCTGGGAGGCTGCGGTCTTCGAAAATGTCGTCATTTTCGAGGGCTGCTGGCGGGTCCAGAGGAGTGCGAAATCGTCGCCATTTTCGAGGGCTGCTGGCGTGTCCAGCGGAGCGAGGTACCGCGCAGATCTGAGCGGTAGCTCGCCGTCCCTGGGGGGCTGCGATCTGCGAAACTGCCATTTTCGAGGGCTGCCGGTGTGTCCAGCTGAGCGAGGCACCGCGCAGATCTGAGCGGGGCATCGCCGTCCTTGGGGGGCTGCGATCTGCGAAACTGCCGCCATTTTCGAGAAAGGGGTGAGGCGCCGCGCAGATCCGAGCGGGACCTCGCCGTCCCTGGGGGGCTGTGATCTGCGAAAGTGTCGCCACTTTCGAGGGCTGCTGGTGGGTCCAGCGGAGTGAGGCACCGCGCAGATCTGAGCGGTAGCTCGCCGTCCTTGGGGGGCTGCCAGCCTCACGAATGCCGATCGCAGAAGTAGATGCGCCCATGTCACGTCATCACCTCCGCATAACGTCTCCCAAGCTACTCATGCCCCAAAACTGCGCAGGGGTTGGGTACGTCGCCAGGCTAATTTTCATAGCATGGTCAGGTCGTCGGGAACTGCAGCCCGCGCCGCGCACGCTTATTAGGTCATGGAATGATCGTGCTCTCTTTCATCCTCGACAGGGCATATCTGCTTAAATTGCCCATCCAAGAGGCATGGCTCGCAATTTGGCGTTGGTGATTGCCTCCACCATCTCCATCGCCCCTTCCTCGCTTTCATTTCCTTCTGCGATTCCGCCGACAGCGACGACGACGTTTCAAACCGCGCCGGGGGCGTCATCACGTTCGCTCCCGACGCTCGGCAAGATCTCCGAACCGAATCGACCTCAGATCGTTTCTCAGGTTTGGGCCCTAGAGCGCGTTCGACCAATTCAGCGCCAAGTTCTTAATGGTGCATGGGCGACTCATTGGAATATCAACAATCGCGATCTCCCCGCGCATCGTCGAAACCTCATTTTCCAGACTAGCCAGGACGATCTCGCCGAAAGCTTCACGGGACCCAATGCACTCGTTCGTTATCGTAGCGGGTGATTGAAACGTTTCGCATATTCTTCCTCGGCATCTGCACGACCACCCGCTAGCGCAGCCGCAGTTGCAGGGATGGCGTCGACAGCGTGAGTCCGCGTGGCGAGTGGAGGTTGGGGATCACATTCATTACCACAAACATAGCCACGCGACTTATTGCTTGGACCGCCTCTGTGCAAGTGTTCCAGGATGGGCGGCGACCCGACTGAGCACCCCTGGTCAGGTGCATGGCCCCCCCGAAGCAGTGCACCAGCTCAAGCTGTCCGACCACGCAGCTGCCTCGACGGAATCCCAGGGAACCGCTCAAGCCCGAGGATCGCCCGATCCCTCCCGACATGTTCAAGCTCCCCGAGAATCAACGGCTTGCGCAGGTAGTTGCGCCGGTCGCCTTCGCCACCTCTGTCGCTCGCTTTCCAGGAGAAGGCGATGCGGGCGGCGCCCCAGCATGCGATAAGCATCGTGATAATCATATCAGGACACCAGGCTCTGCCCTTACTCATTTCATCATCTACGTGCCCATCGCCAGGGCCCTATGGCAACAGAAGATGTGTTCGGGACGCCCTCTAGTTGCTAGTCCCCATCTCGCTCGGCACTAGCTTGAGATTGACGAGGCTAACAATGTTCTGCGGCTACGCCACCCCTTCGAATTCCAGAAGGCGACGAATGTCATGCACCACAAGACGGCGGAACAGAAGCAAGCTGCGCTTCGCTCAATGTTGAACGCCGACGATGCCGCCCAGGTTCAGAAGAAAGTTCGGCGCCGTCTGTGGGGGCCAGCGACACTCGCCCAGCTATAGCCGCCTTTCGACCGCGGGCTCGTGCTGCAGGGGATACGGCACAATGGCCAGGCCCGCACTGCTCCAGACGCTACGCTGGCTACCCTGTCTCACTGGAGTCAGATCCTCAGCGCCAAGACGGCACCGCAGGCTGCCGGGCCCAGTGGAAAGCGCGGCCCGAAGGCGGACCTCATGAACCTCACCCTACGTCTCAACATACTATCTCGAGGGTGCTGCAGAAGGCCTCCAATTGCGACCCTGGCCCCGATGGCCTTCCATATGAGCCCTGGCTTTACCACCCCCGTGGAGCCCAGATCTTGACAGCGGTGATGTGGCGGTGCCTTAATGGTCAGTATATGGGGCCTACTGGGGACGGGAGGAAGTCACAGACCAAGGGCCAGCAGCCCAAGAATTGCACACGGACTGGCGACTTCTTCTCATTGCTGAGAGGACACGTGCGCAATCTGCCCACGAGGGAAGAGCCCCCACGCGCCTGCTGCTACAGCAACACGCTTTGCCAGTTCTGGTCTTCCAAACTCGCACCGTGACCTGCCGAGGCAACACTTAGCCTCGACATCGCAGCGTTCAGCCGCTTACTGCACTCTTCTCGCCCGCAGCATGCACCTAAAATACGAGGGGATGGGGGCACAGCGAGCATTCCAGGCATTGACTGGCACACCAAGGTATATGCTGCCATACCTGGCGGGCACCTACTCTCACTGCTACCCCTGTCACCACGCTTTATTTCGTGCATGTTCCGCGGCGCCCGCCAGGCACCCTTTGAGCCGAGTCATTAGGTCCGCTCAACGTCAAAAGAAGGAGGAGGAGGAGGAGAAGGAGGAGCAGGAGGAGGACGGAGGAGGAGGAGGGAGGAGGGGCGAGGGAGGAGGGAGGAGGAGCAGGAGGAGGAGAAGGGAGGAGGAGGAGGAGGAGGCGCCCCCGAAGACTCCGAAGACGCACGAAGGATTCGCGGCCGAGACATCCACACCACCTCCCACACGACACGCAGAGGACCAGAGCTTCGACGACCCCAACGACCACGACCTCGGCGACTCGACACACACTCCGACAGTCCGAACATCGCCGACCCCCCCCCCCCCCCGACGAGCAACCGACACCAATGGCCTCCTGGGGAGCAGGCCCCTTCCTGCCCCCCCCCCCCCCCCCCCCCCCCGACACCCATGGCCGCCCCCCTACAGAGGGCACAGTCCTTGCCGCTCCCCGACGATCCCATTTCCCCACGACATTTCCGACCGCCCCACGCACAGACCACCCTATTGGGGAACCCTGACTCCCCCCTACGCTCCCCCATTACGCTCGAAGCCGGCTCCACCTTCGCACCCACCCAACCATATTCCCCGAAGCCACTTCCAGCAGGATTCCACATCGCCACCCCCGACCGTGCCAGATCTGCACCACCATCGGCACTCCGAAGGGCAAGCACTCACAGCAGGCCCGCGCGCAAGGTACGGATCCTGGATGACGGCGACGGATTTGACAACCCAATGGACCGCAGGCGCTTCAACCCCGAGAGTCAGGGGGGCAGCTCGGGCTCAAGCTCAGACACGACAAAAAACTGAGCAGGACTTTCCCCGCTGGGGGGCAACTGGCCCAGCGGGGGAGCCCCACCACAACCTCACCAGAAGACCGAGCACCTAGCCCGCTCAGAGTGGCTACACGTAACAACCAGCTCGACGGAGCAACCACTGAGCCCCAGCAGACGTGCTGTGCGACCCGTGCGGCGCCAGACACTCAGCGACAGGCCCAGACGCCTTTACAGCCACATGCCCCACTTGGGAGGCCGCCGACCGCCTCAGCGGCGTTAGCTTGTGGGTTAGCACACCGCCTGACGCCAGCGGCCGCACAACCTAGCACTCCACAACCAGCGACTGCGACACAAAAAAGCAAACCAATAAAAACATTAGCTTCAACATTATCAGCGAGCGGGTAATCTACTCAACCGCGGCGCCTTGGGACCAGCACTACGACCTTGGCAGCGCGCAGGCACTAGCAACCACGACTGCACCAACCGTCGGACCGAGGGCCATCCCCTCGGCCGACCACCGCAGTGCACCAACCACCCCACCTAGGCGGCCAGCGAGGCCAGACGGGGCAAGCCCCCATCGACCCGACCGACCCGCCCCCCAGAGACGAGCCCAGCAGAGGGCGAACCAGGCGACCAGCCACTTTGGCCCAAAGGCGCCGCATCACTTTTCTCCTGAAGCACCTAACGAAGAGCCCCTTCCAGGAGGCCAGCCGACGTCAGCAGCAGCAAGGACAGCAGCTGCCGCAGCAGCAAGGAGCAGCACCAAGACTTACTCCACAGGCCCCCTTCGGCTGGACCTCGGAGACTCCCCAGGGCCGGCTTCTCTGCATCGCAATGACCCCCCCCCCCCTAGAGAGTCCCACGGGACCTCCAACGGCCCACCAGAGGCCAAGCCAGCCAACGCCACGGGACCAACAGCGGCGCCACTGCAGATGCCCTGGATGCGCAGCCAAGCGGCGCAGACGCCCAGAGGAGCCGACGCAGCACCACCCGCCCCTGCGGCAGCCAACTGCATAGATCCACGAGAGATCCACGACATCGAAGCCACATACCTCGACGCCAAGCATACCGACAGGGGACGCGCCATGCAACCCTTCCGCTCTCGAACCTCTGCTACTCCCCCCCTCCCAACATCGCGCGCCTGTCTGACGCCCAAGTACAGCCACATACTGCGGGCCAGCGTCTACATCGAGCAAGAGGGAAGGCCATTCAACCCTTCAGAGCTACCAACGTCAAGCCCCCAGTACCACCCAACCAGCCAACGACAACACCCGACATGCCACCCGCGCTGCTAGAGCAGCGCAGAGTACAATTCGACGAGCGACCAACCATCCGACAAACGATATAGCAATCCCCATCCCCCCACATCACCTTTGACCTATGCGACGAGAGCCTCAACGAGACAGCCGACTACATGTTCCGTCACCACCCACAACGACCACTCCAGGAAGGAGCGAAGATCCATCTCTTCACGGACGGCTCCAAAAATCCGAAGAAGCCGAGCGACGATGCCTGGTCCGTTGTGATCGGAGGCGACGACAACCACGGTTTCAGCTTCCAGGGAGCCATCATAGGGAAGCACAAGAGCGGCACCGATATCGCCCTCAAGGACAACGTCGAGCACGAGACCACTTCCACGACTGTCGAGATCACAGCCCTTATATGGGCCTTCGCCTAGGTGATACACTACAACCCCCATCACATCACCACGACATCAACGGACTCGCTCGGCGCCCTGCAGCTCGCGAAGAGGCTCGCCTTCACCGACCACGACCCCAAGCTCGTCAGGACACTCTGCGTCCTCTACGACATGATCAGCAACAAGATCGACCTGCAGCACGTCCACGCCCACGACTACAACCCGTGGAACGAGGTTGCCGACGCCGCCGCCAACCACGGACGCCTGCAAGAAGTTACACCTCCTCAGCCAGAGTGGGCAAGCGTCATGGACGGCGCATCCCAGCGGGACTGGGAGATCCTGATCGACGCGGATCCCAACACTGGGGAGGCATACCCCGCATTCGGCCACGGCAACCTCACAGCTAACAGGGTCGAGACGACCGCCGAGGCCCGACACTTTCACAACCCCACCGAGTTCAGCGACAAGAAGATTCTAGTAGAAATAAACATCGCGACCTTCAACATCTAGTCGGGGAGAGAGCCAAAGGAAGGATCGAAGCGTCGGAAAGAAAAGATCAATAAGCTTTAGTCCACGATGGCCTGCCTGTACAACGAGGACCTCCACGCCATTGGCATTCAGGAGGCAAGGACGCCTTGGGGTGTCCGCGACGCAGGACACGACGACGACGCCAGATGCGCCAACGCCAACTGCTACCACATCATCTCCAGCGGCCACAAAGGGTTCAACTACGGCTGCGAGCTGCATGTTCTACTCAGCAAGCCCTACGGCAAGAGCGGTAAAAAGGAGCTCTTCTTCAAACCCGACCAGTTCACAGTCATTGTCAAGGACCCCAGGTTCCTCATCGTTCGCGCTGCCGCCCCTGGATTCAACCACGTGCCTGCCGTCGCCCACGCCCCGCACTCGAAGGCCCTCTCGACCGAGAAGGATAGCTACTGGAAGAAGCTCGCGGTGACCACCGAAAAGCACCAAGTGAGCATCATCTTCTCCGACGCAAATGCCAGGACAGGCAACATCACCAGCACGGCCATCGGCGACAAGGGCTTCAAGCAAAACGAGGACCCAAACGGACACCGTCTACATGAGCTTCTCCTGACCAACCACCTGGCGGCCGCCAACACCTTCGTCAGCCATGGACCAGGGCACTACACCTGGCACTCGGACAAGGACCTTCATCGCATCGACTACGTCATCACCCCCAAGGGCTACATCGCCTCTATCGAAGAGTGCGCCGTGCTCTACGGCATAGACAGCGGCCAAGACCCAGAGACCAAGGACGACCACTACCCAGTCAAGCTGCAGCTTGCCTACCAGATCGCCTCGTCCGTCGCCAAAGGAGCCCCGAAGTTAGACGAGAGCAAGCTAGCCGACGAAGGGTGCCGCGAAAAAGTTCAGCCAAAAACTCGACGAGGTCAAACACCCGCCCTGGGACACCAACCTCAACGAGCACCTCACCATAGTCACCGAGGAGATCACGGAGGCTGCGCACGAGTGCTTCCGCTCCAACGGCCGCGCTCCACACAAGCCCTACATCACCAGGCGGTCCTTTGCACTCCCGCGAGTTCGCCCCTCGATATTCAAGACAACACGGATCGCCAAGAAAAACGGGATTGCCAGCCATTTCGGCGACAAGAGGTTACGCTACACGGCCAAGATCATAGCGAAGGAAGCCCTCTTGCCCGACCCCGCCGACTTGAGTGCCCTGGCCGATCTCAGCGACTACGCGAAACTTGTTGTGGACTCTATGGTATTCAGCACTCCCAGCCTAGCGACCTCTGTCGTGGAACCCGACGAAGCCAACACCGTGCACAGCGCCCAGCACTACTTTGACGCCCTTCTTCAATTTCTCAGGACGTCTAAGTCGACCCGACAGAAGTGGACCACGACAGACCGCTACGTTTTCCTCGAGAGGACCGCCGACGAGATGGGCACAGCGATCGACGACCACGCCCCCTGTTTGGAGGCCCTGTACGCGAAGTGACCACTGGCCTTCGGAGGACGAAAGTCCAAGAAGCCGCCGACGCCCATCACCCGCATCAACGACGACGGGGAGCCCCTCACGACGAAGAGCGAGATCGCCGACCACGCCCTGGCCTTCTACGGCAAAGTTGAGCAGGCTACAGCCACGGACTGCAGACGGTCCAGGACCTAAGATCCAGAACGTAATACCCAAGCACCAGCTGACCAGCCAGCTCGCCGCCGCCAAGCGAGGCCGCCGAGGCGGCCCCGATCAGCTCACCGACGACATGTCCAGAGCCAGCCCTGAAGGGATGGCTCGCCTGCTCTACCCCGTCCTAGTCAAGACCCACTTCGAGAACACCGAGCCGATCGCCGCCAAGGGCGGGTACCCCACGTATTTCCACAAGGGACAGGGGGCCATGGAGCTCCGGAAATCCTACCGCGGCATCCTGCTCAACAACACCATCGGCAAGATGCACAGCAGTTTCCTCCGCTCCCGCGTGAAGGGCCTGCTACCTGAGCACCTAGAAGCAACCCAGTGTGGCGCCCGACCCAAGATGGCCTCGGAATTCATCACTCACACCAGCCTCGCCTTCATCAGCGACTGCCAAAGGAGATCAAGATCATGCAGCATCACCTTCCTGGACCTCAGGGAGGCCTTCCACTCCGTCATCAGGGAATTCAGCATGCAATTGCCGACCACCGCCGACGAGCTTAGCGAGCTCATCGAACGGATCGACATCCCCGACTTCATCAGACCAGCGCTAAAGGAACGACTTCAGCAGCCCGCCTACGACAACCAGCACATCGACGACGAGCACCTCTGCCACATGATCGCAGATCTCCACACCTCCAACTGGATGACAGCCAAGAGCGCAAGGCACTACCAGCGGCCTCGGACCAGCACCCAACCTGGAGCGCCATACTCGGACGTCGCCTTCAACATACACTTCGCCATCATGCTGAGGGCAAACGACCAGGCAGTCCGAGAGGAAGAGGCCCACGGCCAGCAGATAGGCGGACACGAGATGGAGGCCTGCAGCGAGCCTCTCTTTTCACTTACCCCTCACGAAGGAAGCGCGCTCAGAAACATGTCCTTCGCCGACGACCTCACAGACTACAACTCGACCGCAAATGCCAACGAACTGATCAACACGACCGCTCTGGCAGCTACCAGGCTCTGCACAGCAGCGTTCCAGCACGGCCTGAAACCACGCCCAGAAAAGACCAAGGCCATGCTCATGCACTACGGCGAGGGGGCCAAGAAGGAGAAACAGCGGATCACCAAGGAGGGCATCACATACTTCGAATTGGACGGCCTTTCTGTCAAGGTGCAGCTAGTAACGCAACAGAAAGCCCTCGGTGCCATCATCTCGGCGGGCGGGGTCATGGGGCCAGAAATCTGCCTAAGGGTCAACCGCACGCTTGGCGCAGCCCGGCCTCTCGAGAAGCAGATCCTCCGCCGCAAGAAGCTCTCGAAGAAAGCCAAGGTGAAGTACGCCCACTCTTTTCCGACATCCTCGCTGACATACAACCACCACGTCTGGAGCGACCTGACCCTGAAAGACCTGAAGCACATATCCGCCAAGTGCACGGGCCCATACCGCGTTGCAGCCTCGCTACCCAAGACCAACTCACCCGACCAGCACATCTCCGAAGCCGAGGCAATCGCCAAGACAGGAGTGCCCGACTGCATCACTCACCAGTCGATAGCGCGGCTACGATACTTGTCAAGACTCCTGAATCATGCTCCAGCAGTCCTACTCCAGCTACTCGACGGCCAGCGCCAACGAAAGGGCACATGGAGCCGCCAGCTCAAGAAAGACTTCGACTTCCCACGAGCTTACTTACCAAAAGAGAGGTGGCCCAGCCAAACCCAGCACGACCGAGACATCATCAACTGGGCCCGACAGAAGCCGAAGCTATTCACCAACGCAGTCAAGGCAGCTTCGAAGGCCTACATTCTCCACATGTGCGACCAAGCTCAGGGCCATAAGCTCCAGAAGGACATCCAGATGACCTCAGCAGCTCACCCAACTGAAGGGCTGGACCTCTGCGACGACACCAACAACCAGAAGTACGCCTGCTACGCCTGTGGCCGAGTCGCCTCCAGGCAAGGCATGTTAATCCATATGGGCAGGGATCATCCAGACCACGAAGACCCGCGCTTCTGGGCGACAGGCACCGCGTGCCGATGTTGCCAGACCGAGCACCACTCTCTTCCGAGGCCCAGCAAGCTCTTATCGGTGGCTCACCGCTGCCGCAAATCCTGGCATGCCTGGCACACCCAGACGATGGAGCCTCTGACGGAGCAGCAAATAGCAGAGAACCTCGCCGCCATCGCCGAGGCCACAAACGCCACCAAGAAGCAAGGACGACACCCAACATTCAGCGACAAGCCAGCCCACCCGTGCGACGTTACGCCGCTGCCGCTCCTCGAGACGTCGCCCGTCGTACTTAAAGTATTCGCCAGACTTGAGTCATCGCCAAGCAGTCCACCCTCGAGCTCGCCTGCAGAACCAGCCGAGCGCCAAGAGATCGTCTTCATCACCAGCCGCCCTCGCCAGGCCGCCGACCTCCAGCAGATCATGGCCAACAACGGGATCACGAGCATCAGCGGCCTGGACTACACCCAGATCGCAATCCACAGCGATGGCCAGACCTCAGGACAAACGCCAGAATTTCGGCGAGTACAACGCAGGATCCTACAAGGCGAGATAGCGGCCATCTACGTAGAGCTCCCACGGCGAACCTGGCACCTACATGGTGCAAGCGACGTTCTATGCAGCAGAGCAAGCAAACGGCGCACCCCAGAGGCACCCTGGGGAACGCCTCAAGTCTCCGAGACCATCGCCGACGAGATATTCGCCGCCAACAACGCCACACGAAAGGTCTTGCGCATGCTCTTCATGGCGACCACAACCAACGTACCATTTGTCGCAGCCATCTCGGCGGAGTCGATCATCAGACAGACTCCCGAATATCGGTACATCGCCAACCTGATGACTGTCTACGAGACCCCGACAAATCACTACGACCTCGGCGGCATACAGATCCTCGACAACGGCACCCGCGACGACCTCCGCAACATAATGACTACGGCAAACGAAGAGGAGATTGACTTAGCCATCGCCGACCTGCTCGACGGCAACATTGCGGCTAGATGGGGATTCAGAACCGCAGCCGTTGTGCCCGCCAGCCAGAACCTGAACACCAACGACGCCTACTACATAGAACGAGAAGACGAAGTGCCGCTCCATGCCGAGGACGATCGCCACGATGGGTGTCATCGACGACAAGCTCAAAGGCGTTAGGACGCAAGTCCTGAGGAAGCCCCGAGCGCGAGTGAACACCTCAGGCAGCGTCGCCAAGTTTTGCAAGAGGCGTTAGGACGCAAGTCCTGGGGAAGCCCCGAACGCGTGGGAACACCCCAGGCACAAGTCGCCACGTTTTGTAGTATTGCTGGAGGCAGCGGCCGCACGAGCACGAGTTCAGCGGCTACCTGTGAGCCGCATTACACACTCCCTCCACTCTGACCAAACACCACCGACCAGCTACAACCCACGACCCAAAGGACGTCATACCACACCAACTCACAAGTCAACGCTGCCCTGGTGAGGCAAGGATCAAACTTCGAGACGGGCCCGAAGGGTGGGGGGGCAGGACGAGTACTGCCCGCGCCTACCAGGGGGGATGGTGAGGGGCAGGGGGGGGGGGGTAGGACGGCCACTACCCGCGCCCCCGCGGTCCGCCCTAGCTCGCCACCCCCACCATCCCCATGGCGAAGGTGGTGCTTACCGATCGCCCAAGCGGTGAAGCGGAGGGCAGCCGAGACATTCCTCACCGACGACAGCAGCAAGCACCAGGCCTGGGGTTCGCCCCCACCGAGGGCACCGTGACCCCTAGCCATAGCGGGACGAGGTGGGGCCGCCACGAACCCCACTTGAAGTCGGTGCATGGAGGCCTCCCAAGTGCGCCTATGACCCATACCATAACCCCAGCAACAATCCGACCTCCCCACGACCTACCCATAGACATTCAAGACGACCAACCACAACTTTTGGGACTCACCACCGACCGACCACCCACCCCGCAACCACCATCCATCCAACAACAACCACCACCTCGATACAACCTGCCCGCTGAAAGGAGGACAGGAGAAGGGTCCTCAGCAGCGCGGCACGACGCAACCATGACGGAGCCTGCTGAAAGGAGGACAGGAGCAGGGTCCTCAACAGCGAGGCTCGACGAGCATGCCCTGGAGACGTCGAAAAGGAGGACAGGAGCAGGGTCCTCAGAACCGACCTCTAGCAGGCACGCCCGCAGGAAGGAGGACAGGAGCAGGGTCCTCAGCTGCGAGGCAGAACAAAGACAAACAACCCTAGAACCTCCACCCCACCAACAACAACCATCACCTCGACTTGACCAGCCCGCTGAAAGGAGGACAGGAGCAGGGTCCTCAGCAGCAAGGCGTGTTGAACCTACCTCGATTTCAGCTGAAAGGAAGGCAGGAGCAGGGTCTTCAACAGCTCTGAAGATAGTGAACGCATGGAGGCCGCCCATCAGGAGGACAGGAGCAGGGTCCTCAGAAGCGGTGTTCAGCACGCACGACATCAGAGAGGAGTTCTCGCCAAGAGAAGGAGGCGGCGCACCGCGCGCCGCGGCGAGGCCGCCCCCAGCCCACGGGCCGAAGGGGGGCACGGCCCGCCCCCCGTGCAACATACGGGGGCCGCCAGCTCAGCCGAGCTGCCACGCGGCAAGAGAAGGTCGGGCGCCCCTCAGCTTGCGAGCAAAGGAGGGGCGCCCGTCGCAAAGAAGATCGGGAAGGACGAGTTCGGGGGCCACCTGAGGCCGTCGGACTGACGGGCCACGCCGCGCCGCCCGTCGGCGCGGCACAGAGCCTTCACTGAAAGGGTTCACTGAAAGGCGGAGGAGGCGGAGGAGGAGGAGGAGGAGAAGGAGCGATAAGGCGAGGAGTGGTAAGGAGGATAAAGAGGAAGAGAAAGAGGAAGAGGAGGAAGAAGAGGAGGAGGAGGACAGGGCACAAGGAGGAGGAAGAGGAGGAGGATAAGAAGGACGAGGAGGAGAAGGAGGAGGAGGAGGAGGTGGGGGGGGAAGGAAGAAGAAGGGGAAGGAGGAGGAGGACGAGGAGGAGAAAGAGGCCCGTTTCCTCCCCCATGGCCGCCCCCCCCCCCCCCTGCGCTCTGCCCCCCCCTTCCCCCCTGCCGAGAGGCGCCCGCGGAGTCGTGAGCGGCGGGAGGCCCGAAACCCGCTCTGTGAGGCCTCCTCTGAGCGAGGCCGCGGCCCTCCCCCCCCCCCCCGACTTCGCCCCGGTGACGGGCAGATCGGCGGCGCGCCCTCGGGACCGGGGGGGGGGGTCCCGCATCTCCGAGGATACATTTTCAATCTCCTCCTCCTCCTCCTCCTCCTCCTCCTCCTCCTCCTCCTCCTCCTTCTCCTCCTCCCCCCATCCTCCTCCTCCTCCTCCTCCTCCTCCTCCTCCTCCTCCTCCTCCTCCTCCTCCTCCTCCTCCTCCTCCTCCTCCTCCTCCAGGCGGCGCCGTGATATTTCCCCAGATTTCATGGCGCCTCTTCTTATTTCGTGGCGCCCCTGGCCCCCCCGCGGGGCCGCGCACATGCCGCCGGCCATGATTTGCACCCCCCCTCTCTTGGACACCCCCCTCTTGGCCGCTCCCGATCGGGACTCGGGGGGGGGGGGTCACATCTCCGAGGATACATCTTCAATCTGGGCGGACCTCTTCGATTTCGGCCTCCGCGGCCCGCTAGTGGGCCCCGTGGCCATCAAAAGTGGGTCTGGGGCGCAGGGCTGCCCTGAGGGAAGGGGCCGGGGCCTCGGGGGCCGCGGGCTGGGAAGATCGGATCGGAAGACGTCAGGGCTCATTGCAAGCTGAAGGGTCTCGGGTTTGCACTGGTCCTTCTCCTCCCTCCCCCCCCTCCCCCTCCCACCTCTTCACGGGAGCGCAGGCGCCGATCGGCGGCGCGCGCGCAAAGGCCGACGGCAGCTCCTCTGCGCCTCCCAGGTGCGGTCGGAGTGGACAGGGTCGAAGGGTCGCGCCGCATCGCCGATGCATCGGCGATGCGGTGCAATCGTCCGACCCCATCTACTCGGACCACATCTAGGAGGGGAGGCCTCTAAATCGGCACAGAGACCGACAGCAGTTCCTGCCCATTTCGAACCGTTTTCGTTGTTGACAAGAGACGGTGGTACTTGGCCCTTGGGAGGGGGTGGGGGCCTCGTGGCCACGCTTCGACGCAGCTCGGGAAATTGATGCGTTCGGACCTTGGGAGGGTGCGAAGACCGATCTTGAGTTGCTGTTGTCTCAACTCGCCCCGCTCCGAGAACCGGGTCCTGAGGGAGAGGGGTCCTGAGGTTTTTCGTTGTCTTCGGCCTCTGCGGGCCGTGCCTGGGCCTCGGGGCGGTCAGAACGCTCCTCGGGATGAAGGGTTTGTCTCGGACCCGTTTCCGCCAGGACCCGCCTCCTGCACGGCAAGCCAGGAGGCGGCGCGATGGGGGGGCAGCTTTCCAAGAAGGCGAGGTGTTTCTGGGAAGGCGGGGCCCTTCCGAGGAAGGGCCTGGAGGCTTCGCAGAGGGCATCCTGGAAGCCAGAAGAGAAAGGCTTCTGAGAAGCCCTTGCGGATCGTCAGAAGGCTCCGCCCTCTGAGAAGGCCGCCCCGATCGCGCCCATCTCTTGTGCGCGCCGCCAGAGAGAAGCGCCCGGTGAGAGATCCTCCTCCACCGATCTCTGGCGATTCGAAGAGATCGCGCTGGGAGTTGTTCCCCGTCTTCACTGGCAGAAGTGCCCGCTTGAGGCCGCGGCCATGGGAACGCCCCGGAGCGATCCGTGATGAAAAGATTGTCAAGGGGAAGGGGTCGAGAGCTCCAAAGGCCGACGAATTGGAGAAATCTAGTCGTCGCGAGACTGGGAAGGTCTTTCTCCTCCGTCCTGGTCCCTCCTCCTCATCCCGCCTCCTCCTCTTCCCTTCTCTTCCTCCTCTTCTTCCTCCTCCACTGCTACTTGCAATTGGTGAAAATGCTTCAGGCGAGTTCACGTCGGCGGCGCTCATGCTGGAAGTGCTGAGGCGCATGTCCGCGGCGCTAAGACGAGCGCCACCTGTTGAAAACGGCATGACATCCATCCGCAAAATTGCTGAAACATGAGACGAGTGTCAAGGGCATAAAAAAACGCCCCTACCCTGGTTTACGAGGCGCTGTGCGCTGAAACTCCTGTGGGTTGACAGGGCCATCCCTGCGTGATGTGCCGCGTCCTGGCGGCTCTAGGCTTTCGGGGTTCCCAGGAGGTTTACAGACCGCGCGCTTGTAACCCAGGGTAGGGTCGTTTTTGATCCTTCAAGAGTGTGCACGGTGCAGATGTTGCAAATGCGACAACCCAAGCTGAAAATCGCCCGCCCTCCGTCCGTGCATCCGTGGGGAATCCCAAGCCTCTGGACGACAGGTTCTGGAACAGTCTGTGAAAGAGCGCGCTCGCGGCACACTTCTCATTACAGGGGTGGCCCCAGCTTCAGGCTGTCCCCCCCTCCCTGAGAAAAGGGGGGGGCTTCCGAAGATATCCCCACCCTCCCCCCGTTTGTGGGCATGTTTGAGCTAAGGGGCCCTAGCTAAAGGGGGGGGGGCTTGGAGGCTGGCCCCCCCCTCCCCCCCTTCCATTTGTTTGGAGTTTGTAGCGGGGGGGTCCCTGCCTAAAGGGAGGGGGCTTGGAAGCTACCCCCCGCCCTCCCTTGGGCTCCCCTTTTCCAAAGGGGAGGGGGAGCGCTTCCGAAGCTACCCGCCCCCTTCCCTCCTTGTGTTGGCCTTTCCAGCCGGAAGGCACTGGCTGAAGGGGGTCTTCGATATGATTTGTCCTGTTTGGTTTTCGGCGACCCGTTGGTTTTCAGCGCGCTTGTCGTTTTCAGCGTCTCTTTGGTTTTCGGCGCCTCATTGGTTTTCGGCGCCCCTTGGGCCTTTGGCGCCCCTTTGGTTTTAGTCGCCCTCTTGGTTATCGGTGCTCGTTTGGTTTTCTGCGCTCCTGTGGTTTTCGGCGTTCCTGTGGTGTTCAGCGCTCCTTTGGTTTTCGACGCCCCTTTTGGTTTCCTGCACACACACTTTTGGGTTTTCGGTGCATCCTTGGTTTTCGGCCCCCTCTTGGGTTCTGGCGCCCCTTTAGTTTTCGGCGGCCTCTTGATTTGTCTGACTTTCGGCGCCGTTTTGGTTGTCGGCGCTGTTTGGTTTTCGGCACCCCTTTGGTTTAGGGCACCCTTCGGATTTTGGCGCTCCTTCGGTTTTTGGCACCCTTTGGTTTTCGGCGCCCTTTTGTTGATCTGCGCGTCTTCGAACTTTCGGTGCATCGTTGGTTTTCGGCGCCCCTTTGGTGTTCGGCGCCTCTTTGATTTTCGGCGCCCCTTTGGTTTTCGGCGCTCCTGCGGTTTTCCACGATCCTCTGGTTTTCGGCGTCTTGTCCGTCTTCGGCACTTTTGTTGTCAGCGCCCTTTTGGTTGTCGCGCCCCTTTGGTTTGTCGGCGCCCTTTTGGTTTTCTGCGCATCATTGTTTTTTTGGTTGTCAGCGTTCCTTTCGGTTTTCGGCACTCCTTGGGTGTTCGGCGCCTCTTTGGTTTTCGGCGCCCTCTTGGTTTTTGGCGCCCCTTTGGTTTTCGGTGTCCTTTTACATGTCGGCGCCCTTTCGGCTTCCTCCGCATATTCGTTTTTCGGCGCTCCTTTTTGTGTTCGGCGCGTTTGGGATCCTTTTGGTTTTCTGCGCCCCCTTTGTTTTCGGCGCATGCTCGGTTTTCGGCGCTCCTTTGGTTCTCGTCGCCCTTATGGTTTTCGGCGCCCCTATGGTTTTCGGCGCCGTTTTGGTTTTCGGTGCCCTTCTGATTTTCGGCGCCCCTTTGGTTTTCGGCGCTCCCTTGGTTTTCGGCGCCATTTCAGTGTTTGGCGACCCTTTGGTTTTCGGCGCCCTCTTTGTTTTCTGCGCCCCTTTGGCTTTCGACGTCCTTTTCAAGTTCGGTGACCCTCTGGTTTTTGGCGCCGTTTTGAGTTTCGGTGCTCTTTGGTTTTCGGCGCCCTGTTGGTTTTCGGCGCCCTGTTGGTTTTCGGCGCCCCTTTGGTTGTCGGCGCTCTTTTGGTTTTCGGCACCTCCTTGGTTTTCGGCGCCCCGCTGGTTTTCAGAGTTTATTTTGTTGTTTGCCCCTCTTTGGCTTTCAGCGTTCGCTCGGTGTTCGGCGTCTTTGGGTTTCCGGCGCCTTTGATTTTCGGCGCTCTTTTGGTTTCTAGCGTTCCTTTGGTTTTCGGCTCCCTCTCGGTTTTCGGCGCCCTCTTTGTTTTCGGCGCCCCTTTGGTATGTCGGCGCTCTTTTGGTTTTCGGCGCTCCTTTGGTTTTCGGCGCCTTGTTGGTTTTCGGCGCACCTTCGGTTTGCGGCGCTCTTTTGGTTTTCGGCGTTTTTTCCGTCTCCGGCGCGCCTCTGGTTTTCGAGCTCTTTCGGTTTTCGGTGGCTCTTTGGTTTTCGGCGGTGTGTAAGTTTTCGGCGCTCTTTTGGTCGTCGGCGTTCCTCTTTTAGCCAAAGAAGGGGGGGCTCCCAAGCCCCCCCCCCCTTTTAGTGTAAAAGGGGGGAGAGTAGGGGAGCTTCCGGCAGGGGAGGTTCAAGGGGAGGGGGTAGCTAAGCCCCCCCGTTTGGAAAGGGAAAGGGGGGTGGAGCTTCCGGAGCGCGAAGGGGGGAGAGGGGGGGGGTAGCTTCCGAGGGACGGAAAAAGAAGGGGGGGGGGGGAGGCTTCCGGCAGAGGAGGTCCAAAGGGGAAAGGGGTAGCTAAGCCCCCCCGTCCCTTTGGACAGAGAGGGAGGGCAGGGGGGTAGCTTCCGGAGCGCGAAAGTGAGAGGGGCACGGGGGGGGGGGGGGCGGAGCGGGGGGGGGGGGGTGCATCTTCCGAGGGGGGCCTTCCGGCAGGGGAGGTCCAACGGGGGGGTGGGGTAGTTCAGGGAGGACCCCCCTTTGTTGGGGAGTGTACCACGGGCGCGCTCTCTCGTCTGTTTCCTGCGACATGTCCAGCTCGCCCCACTGACACGTCTGGTCGCGCGACGAGGACGCACTGTTTCAAGGAAGAGCGGGAGGAGGCGGACGAGTAAGGGGGGGTTCTCCCCGTTTGCTTCCCCCATGGGCCTCAAAAACAGAGGCCGTAAAACGAATCGGCCCGTTTCAGCCACAGGTTAGATGCGATGTAGACTACCCCCCTCCTTGTCCGAATCATATCTGATTATAAACTTGTGGCGTCCACAACCTGGATAGCGGATCGGTCCAACATGACACCAGACGCGCTCGAAGTCTTGTGGGAGACGCTTGCAAGAGCGTTTGCAAAGATGTCTGGGGAGCTTGCAAGTTCGAGGAAAAAGCTTCGCAGTAGCCCAGGAAACGCTGCGAAGGAGCTGCGCAAAGGTTTCCAGCAAGTGTATTGTGAACAAGAAGGAAAACGCTTCCAGAACACGCTGCAAGTTCAAGGGACCTGCTGCGGGGATGTCTGCCCAGCAGCCTTGAAGAAGAAGCTGGCATACCCTGTGCTGGCGGTTTCTAATCTGAAACCATCTCAGCTTTCCAATAGCAATTTGGGAAGATAACTGTATAGATGTTCGCATATAACTGTATGTAGATATGTATATGTGTATGCATACACATACGTATATGCATATAAGTGTTTGTATATATATACAGTTTAATATTGAATCGTTTCGCCCACTCCGCCGGCCCGTATTGTGCCATCGCGGGCGTTTGCTTGCGCGGTCGCGAGCCAGGCGGCGCTGGATGGCCGTGGTCGTTTTCCATAGGCTTTGCGGCAGAACGCATGGGGATGAAGCAGTTTGTTTGGAGCTTGTTGTGGGGGCTTCGGCCTCTACTGTCTTACGATGGCTATCTAGTGGTTTTCTAGTGGTTTTCGGCCCATCCCGCCACCGCGCCTGGGTTGTAGGTCGGAGGCCTCTTGGATGTTCGTTGAGATATCTTGGCAGGCCTTTTCGAGGGTTTCTTTGGAGGCAGTTTTGAGGGCTATTGGGGGCCGTCGGGGGGGTTCTTGGGGCTTCTGTTTAGGCCTCTTGGGGTCTCTTGCAGGCCTCTTGGGGCCTCATGGGGGCTGCTTGGGGCGGAAGTCTCGAATTGTCGGTTCGTGTTCCCTCTCTTGGGTCCCTTTGGGGCCCTCTTGGGGCTCTTTTGGGCCGTTCGGGCGTTTCGTGGGCCGTTGTGGAGCCCTCTGGGGTCGTCTTGGGGTTCTTTTGGGGGCCTCCTGGGCTGTCTAGGGGTGGTTTTTGAGGGCTCGTGGTCTGTCTTGGAGCGTCGGAAGCTCGAAAAGGCGAGAACCCCCAAAACCATTGAAAACACCAAATGGAAATCAATGATCTGGGTATATTGCAGCCCTCCTGGGAGAATGCTTGGGGCGCTATTGGGGCCTGTTCGAGGCCTATCGGGAGCGCTCTCGGGCCGTCTTGGAGGCCGTTTTGTTGCTGCTGCTAGTGGTGGCGGTGGTGGTGGTGGTGGTGTTGATGCTGCTGGTGATGGTGCTGGTGGTGTTGGTTTTCGAGCTGTTGGTGCTGCTGCTGGTGCTGCTGCTGGTGCCGTCGTTTCTGTTTGTGGTGGTGGTGCTGTTAATGCTGGCGCCGCTGCTGGTGTCGATGCGTATCGTGCTGCCCGGCCGTGGCGACGAAGAGGCCCCCCGAAGGCGAACCTCGAGGCTCGAGGTTGGACCTTCGACGTGTACTTCTCCCCTCCCACCTAACTCCATTTCCTCCGTCGCGTCCCTCTCCTCCGTCGCCCCCCCGGTCCGCCCCACCCCACTTTGGGAGGAAATATGAGGAGGAATAGGAGAAAATGGAGGAGAGGGAGGTGGGGCAGGGATATGAGGGAGAGAGGGACGGATAGAAGGAGGTGGAGACGGAGGATGATGAGGCCGACCACTTCGAGGAGGATGGGGCCAGTCGTGCTTGACATCTCACAGCAGATACATACATAAACATATACATATAGTTACATACATATATATATGTATGAATATACATATACATATACATATGCATATGTATATGCATGTGCATGCTATGTGTATATGTATGAATTCATATGTGGATGTGGATGTAAATGGATATGTATATATGTTAATGTATGTGTGTACAAACCGTACGTGTATGCACTCAAACATACATACATGCATACATAGTTACATCCCTGTATATAAGCAGACCTACCGACCTACATGCATGCAGTTTTGCCTACCTTTTTTACCCACGTACATTCAGACAGACAAATAGGTTTGTATGCATCCATGTATGCATACATACATGCATAAATACCTGTATGCATACACACATGCGTGCATACCTACAAACTACCTACATGCAAGTGGGCACATATGTATATATAAATATGTGTATGCATGCACACAGACATTCGCACATGCATTCCGACATACACGTATACTATCATATATACAGAAATGTATATGCACACAAACGTGCATATAAATTGGCAGATCTGCATACATACATACATGCATACATGCATACATGCATGTTTACACATATACATACAAGCAATGGAAGACAAATATACAAACATGCATGCATGGGTGTATACATGCATCTATGGATTCATGCCTACATTGATACATATATATAGTATACACATGTGTACGTACATGCATGATTACGCAGATGATTGAATACTGATATGCATGCATACATACCTATGTGCATGCGTACATACATACATACGTACATGCATGCATACGTACATGCCGAAATAGTTATCCTGTGTTGCTCTCCCCTCTCTCTATCGTTCTCTCTCTCTCTCTCTCTCGGTTTTGCTCTCCATCTCTCTCTCTCTCTCTATCTCTCTCCTTCTTTCTCCATATCGTTCTCTTTGATTGACAGTGCATGGCGGCTTCTGTAACAAGCCTCCCGCTGCATGCATCACTCTGCGAGTCCTTGGGACCATCCGCCAGACTTCTGATGTTCCTTCGCACGCTTTCAGCATCAACCAGGCTTGATGGTATAGCCCTCAAGCTTTCAACTCCCGCTGGCGCCCGCAGCTCTGGTGGTTCCCGAGAGAGCCTGGCGAGACCGCGTGGCGCGAGGCGGTGTTGCATCAGGTCGCGAAGACAGAAACCGAAGAGCGAGGGTGGGGGGGAGGTGAATAGACAGGATGGGGCAGGGACGTGACGGTAGGAGAAGCGGAGTGGGGAGCGACGTGGGTCGGGGACGGGACGGCAGGAGAAGTGGAGCGGGGAGGCGGGTGGTAGGGGAAGGGGAGGGGGGGGGGTCGGGGAGGGGGACCCGCGGGCTGGTAATTTTGCCTCTGAGCGCGTGCGAGGGTGTTCGTTGGCCTTGAGCTTCGAATTCACGCTATCACCACCAGAGCTTGCCGCGCGTGCCGCCTCGCGCACCTTGTCTTTCCCGTCGGTGTGAGACCCGCGTATCTCTTGAGAGGGCATGCTGAGGCTACTTGCACGCTAATTTGCTTCGGCTGTTCCTGTACCATCCAGGTGCAGCTGCCCCCAGGTCACTGCAGCCCACAGCCCGCGCGCCAGGATTCCACTCGAGAGCGGAATTTCTCCAGACCGCCGAAGTCCAAATTGCACTCGCCGGGATCCCAGCGAGACGTGGGTGGGAGAGCATCCAAAGTGTAAGGGATGAAGGTCACAATCTCAGGAGGAGCAGCGTTTGTTCTCGGTCCCGAAGTCGTTTGGTGTTGATTTGTTGGTCGCCCAGTTCGATCACATAAGATTGCCGCTTCAAAACCAAATCCGAACACAATAAAGTTACCCATTAAGCTTTACCCGTCTGGGCAACATGAGTGCGACAGCGGCGCAGCATGTCTTCCAGAGTGCATGTGTTCCTTGGATGCCGCCCTCCGACTCGGAGACAGTGCCAGCGTGTGAGTGGGTGGCAAACTCGCCCGCTGGAGGGAGGGAGTGTACGAGGTGCGGAGGAAGAAAGACGATCTGCAGCAGGGCCCACAGCTCGAGCAGCATGGGGGACCCTATCGGCGCCCTGTGGCCCTTCCTGGCGCTTGCGGTGCTGGGGCCTGCGGGAGCCGATGGGTTGCTGCTGGAGGGCTGGGTGCCCCAGGAGGCCCGCGCACGGTTGTATCCGAATGGATCCACCAAGCGATCGATCGACCAAGGCTCGATCGTCCTGCGACCGATCGCCGATCTGGGCGAACGATTGACCAGTCGCTCAAGAGACCATTCGGTTCGACACGTCGGCTCGGGGGGCCTCACCCGGGTGCTATCGAGGATGATCAGGAGGACAGAGGAGGGGGTAGGAGCACGTGGAAGAGGAGGAGTGAAAGTGCGGGGTCTCGTGGGTGCAAGCGCGCGGGCCGCATGGCTGGATGAGGTCCACCTGAGCGCACAGTGGGCAGGGGGGGCGAGAGCGGGCGGCGGCCAGGTCGAGCGCGATGGCTTGCAGAGACCGGTTGTTGCCGTGGCCTCCGCATCCTCATCCTCCTCCCCAGACCTCCGTCGACTTGAGAAGTTCGCGCAGGAGGTTTTCTCCCGACCATCCCGTGGTGTTTTGCCCTCGTTCTGAAGAGACAGCGCCCGACGTTCCTCGCCTCCTCCCCTCTCCTCCCTCCTCTGCTTCTGCTTTTCCCGCATGTCCGCCAGTTCGGTGCACCTCTCGCACGCTCCGTGGCCCCACATGGAGCTCCACCGAAGGCTGCAGTGGTATGTACGAGCCGCACGGCGTACCCGCACCCGATTCGGAACCCCTCACACGTTGCGTAGCACCACAGGGCACTCCACCCGAGGCCCCGTGGCACCAGCCGCGTGGCATACCCGCACCCGACTCGGCACACCCCTCAGACGCGCCGTGGCCCCACATGGGAGCTCCACCGAAGGCCCCAACGGCACCGTCCGCATGGCGTGGGCAGCTCCACCAGAGGCCCCAACGGCACAGTGCGCATGGCGTACCCGCACCCGATTCGGCACGCCCCTCACACGCCTCGTGACCCCGCAGTGAGCTCCAGCGGAGGCCCCAGTGGCACAGTCCACATGGCGCACCCGCACCCGATCCGGCACACAATTCACACGTTTCGTGGCCCCAAAGAGTGAGTGATCCACCGAAGGCCCCAGTGGCGCAGTCCGCATGGCGCACCCGCACCTGGTTCGGCACATCCCTCACACGTTTCGTGGCCCCATAGGGGACTCTACCGAAGGCTCCAGTGGCAGCACCCGCATGGCGGCCCCGCCCCAGTGCTGCACACCTTCCACACGCTTTGCGGCCCCATAAGGAGATCCACCGAAGGCGCCACACACAACCACGGTACTCACAACTGCAGATGGGTGGGTCATTCGCCAGGATAGTAGTTCGTAAGTTTCGGCTTCAGGAACTGGTTTCAGGCCTCGGGGCCTTTTCAAAAATGGTTCAGGGTGAGAAAAGCATGCCCCATGGAAGTGATAGAGAAGTCCGAGGGCTGGCGACTCGAAGAAATGAAGTCGACGGTCGTCTGGGTGCGTAGGAGCACTTCCACAAGTTTCTGGGGAAGTTTGTTGTGGACTTCAACACAGCTGGGACAAACGTCGCCCAGGTCGAGACGCTGGTACATCCACTGGGCGACGTCAAAATTGGCGCTGGCAGGTTCTACCTTGCCGCCTTCGACGACGAGGAGGGCCACTGGCAGCGCATTCGGGACAGCTGGGAGACGACGAGTTGCCCCGAGTTGTTGAAAAGCGCGTCGTGGTCACAGACAATCGTGATGTCGTCGAACGGCGATTGGAACAACACGTTCGGTGTTCGTCAGAGGCCTGGGAGGAGGAACTACAGAATCCAAACTTCATCCGCTGCTCCGTTCTCGGTTCTTCGCCCTCTCTCCCCGCGGGGCCAGGGGGCCGTCTAAAAGTTATCCCCCAGGTTGCGGCCCCGCTTCTGGTACTTCGCGCTCTTGGGGTGTGGCGTGCGGCCCTTAGCTCGCAAGCGAGTTGTTGCGTTGGCTACAATTGCTACGATTGTTGTTTTCGCGAACACTGTCGGAGCACATTTGTCGAGCAGACAGACACTCGCGTTCATGTCACGAAAAGAGTGCCAAACACGTACGGGGGGAAGACTCAGAGCGCACTAAGGTGGAGACAACCGTGCCGCTGCGCTATTCACTTCACGTGACAAACACGAATTTTGGTTGGCAGAGCGAGGTGCCAGTCGATCACAAGGATATGATTATCATCAACACGCTGTTCGTAATCGCTTTCTTTCTCACCACCCTGACAACTGCGTGGGCGGCGCGATGGAGAGAGGTGATGCGCAAGAGTCCCTTGCGGGATCACCCATACCTGCAGCTGTTGCTCTGCTCGCAGGTGGCCACCTCCTCTGCTTCCTTCTTACCCTCCCACATATCCCCCCTCCGCCTCCTCATCCTTATACAGCTCGCGAGACAGGTGGCCTCCTTTGCGTCGTGCGCACTGTGGGTGTTGCACGACTGCCTGTACCTGCGATCTGGCATGGGATCCATGCGACTGGGGTTCCTCGCGACCATGTCTGCGACGGTTGCTTCCAGCACCGTGTTCTTGATCGTCATTTTGGCGAGCACCGGGTGGGCCATCGTCACAGCGACGTTGCCATGTCGGCGGGTTTTCTTGGGCATGGTCGCCACTGTCGGGGGGCTGTCAGCTCTATGTGAGCTCCACGCAGACACCACCACCACCCAGTCGTCTGAGCTCTACGCCTACCAGAGCCTTCCGGGATTCGTCGCGTTGGCGCTGAAGGTGTTCATTTTTTGGTGGTTTTTGTTCCAAGTGAAATCCACCCACGAGGACGAGTGGGACAAGCGGCGGCGCAGGTTTTATGCGCGACGCTCAGGCGGCAGACCGCCGCCCCCTGTGGGACATCGCTCTGGGAATCCAATGGTCTAGATGCGGAGGTAGACGGAAGCATTGTTTCAACGTGGGGATCCAAAAACCACAAAATGGATGCCCCACTCATAGCCGCAAGGAGCCAGTCCAGCCTGTCCATGTGTTGCGACGATCAATTTCAAGTAGAGGGGGGGGTCCCACAAGCACGAATGGAGATAGCAGGCAGGCAGATTTCACAGTCCGCTGAAATGCAATCGAGCAAGACAGCAAACAAGCTCTATCATGAATCTCCAGTCCAGTTGCAAGCAAAGGGTCCGAACGCATTAAGCCCCACCGCGCTTTCTGACAACTTTGAACCCATTTTGAGCCTGCACAACGAGAGGAAGAAGAGAAACCGTAAAGCGGATCGCGACGACTCGCCCCCATGTAAATTGCGGGCCAGCGGACGAAGTGCTCGCCATTTGCACGACACTTTTGGCTTTACACTCACCTGTCAGCGTCGTCTTGTCTTACTCTATTGCTCCATGGTACCGATACAGGGTGGTGGCGGTCGTGGACATTTGCACTCGGTGGATTGGTCAAGCAGCTCTATCGTGGCTCTTCCTTGGTAGCCACAGCCCGATATCCTTGGACAACGCCTTCTCTCCTCAGGGGCCTGCGGCTGCGAACACCGCCCATGGTGATTTTGGAGCCAACCAGACTGAGTTCCAGAGCCTTGCGGATGACGTCGGGCGCCCCAGCCTCTCTATATGAAAACGCTGGCTAGCTTGTCTTCAAGCCTAGGTTCACTGAACAGTCAGTGCTGCAAGGCTTCTTTTACACAGCCGCTGAGAAGGCACACAGTGAGGCACCAGCCGCGTCGGTGGACCTTGGGATGCTTGGCGTAACCAATGGCGCAACCTATGGCGAAATCCTACACCTCCAGGAGCATCGGCCGATTTGGTGGCCCGCAGGGTGCTGGGCGCAACCTGTAGTGCCAACCTATGACGCAATGGCACCCTCACTGAGGCATGGGACGATGTGGTGACCCGCGGTGTGCCTGGCGCAACCCATGGCGCAGCCTGTGGCGCAATGGTACACCTATTGAGGCAGAAGATTTCTTGGCCCCCTGGGTGTCTGGTGCAACCTAATGTGGCGCAATGGTACCTCAATTGAGGAAACGGACGATTTGATGGCCCGCGGGGTTGTTCGGTGCAACCTAGCGCGGCGAAGTGATACACTCATTATGTGGGGAACAGACAATTTGGTGGTTCGCGGAATGTTTGGCGTAACTTATGGCGCAAACCATGGTGCATTGATATACCCATTGAGTCAACAGACGATTTTGTGGCCTGCAGGGTGGCTAGCGCAACATATTGCGAAACCTATGGTGCAACGTATGGCAAAATGGTACACACAGTGAGGCAACGAGCGATTAGGTGACCCCAGCGGGGAGCCTGGCGCAATCTATGGCGCAATGGTACACTCATTGAGGCATAGGAGCATGGGACGATTTGGTTACCCGCCGGGTGCCTGGCGCAAGCTTGGGCACAATGGTACACCCACTGAGGCAACGGACGATTTGGTGTCTTGCGGGGTGCTTGGCGCAACCTATGGCGCAACCTATGTCGCAACCTATTGCGCAATGGCGCGCTTACAAGGGCATGAGATTTGGTGGCCCGCGAGGTGCCTGGCACAACCTATGGCGCAATGGTGCACCCACTGAGGCTTGGCGCAACCCATGGCAGATGATGTTGAGGATCTCTCGGAAGGGTGAGTTTGTTTGAGATACGACAGGATGTCGTTCTCCGAGGGGCAACTACAGATGTTGCATCTTGCGTGCACCTAGTGAGCCTGCGTCTGGCGCAATCGATTTGAATCCACTGAGCCTCACGAGTGTGACCTTATGGGCGCTGGTTTTCGCAGAGAAAAAACCGCGGTGTTTGCTGTCTGGGAAACCGCCCAGGAATCGATTTGTTCTGCCATGGCACGACGATCCGACTTTTCAGTTTGGCCGACAACGCCATTGCAAGAGCAACCCGCGACAAGGTCAGTAAGGACGAGTATCAAGTAAGTCCCCAAGTCCACCGAGGGCAACCGGAATGCCATGAACAGTAGCAAAACGGTAAGTTGCCGCTGGCAACACAAACATGTTTTGTTTTGTCAGCGGGCTCAAGCGAACCGAAGCAGGTCCAGGCGCAGGTGGGGCTATGGGTGGGGCGCGCCAGAAGCTAATTGAGGCACGGCGGAGCGCAGGAACAGCAGAGGAGAGGAGAAGACAGAGCCGTTCAGACAATGTAGACCTTCACAGGCGTGCCGACGACGTGCAAGGCCGGGGCCGGAAGAACAAGAGGCGGAAGACTTGGTAGAAGTCCACGATCGGTTGCGAGCGGCAGAGGTCGACTAGACGTCAGAGTGACCTTTCGCCAGAGTGACCTTGGGTGCGGGCACAGATGGATCCCCAGATGGCTGAAAACGAAACACTAGCAGCTGGTTGCGCGCCCAGGTTTGGCCCCCCGCGGCCCCCAAAAAGCCGCGCACCAAAGGTCGCTCTTACCCAGGGTCACTCTTGCGTGTAGCCGACTGGTAGAAGACCACGATCGGCTGCGAGCAGCAGAGGGCATGCTGGGGCCCGGGGGCCGTGAGGCCGTAGACCTTGAAGCGGGAACCCAAGGAGCAGGGGAGGGGCCGGAGGTGCCGTGGCGACCGCGCTGCGGAAGTACCAGGCCCGGAGAGCGCAGAGCGCCCAGGTGGACGAATCGATAAGCAAAGCCACGCTCAGCAAAAGCATGCAGTCAACGATGCCTGCCCCCCTGCCCTCCCATCGGAGGCACCAACTATCCACCAACACCGATCCTGGCCAGGCCGCTCCTGGGCCCAGGATCGGTGCATACTGTTTCCTGAGAAAGGCAGGAAGGCTTCTACACCATAGTCATAAACGCGCCTCAGCCGTTTGCTGCGTCCGCCCACCGCGATCAGCCCAACACGGGCCCACAAGGGGCCAGCACCACCGTGCGGTTGTGGTTCCGATGGTCCAACAATCCATGGCAACAGGTCGATCTGAAGGCTCACGCATGCGAACTTCCCAGCTGGCGGACAGCACATCTTAAATTCGTCCTCCCTCTGCCGACCCCATGTGCCCCATCGAAGACGCCTACGTCGAATCACCGCCGCCCCCTGCCTTTTGGAAGTGCCTGTGCGGCAGAACGTTGTGGCCAGAGCTCGGCCACGCTATCGACCTGCCCCCCAGCCGTTGTGGGAACCTTTCGGGAAACACTTGGAGGAAGAAGGGGAAGAGGACGAGGGAGGAGAAAGGAGAAAGGAGGAGGAGGAGGAGGAGGAGGACTCTTTGGAGCTTTGGGGCACTCGGCACTCGGGGCCTCGTGGGCGCCTCCTGGGGGCCTCTTGGGGGCCTCTTGGGGGCCTCTACTTGGGCCCTTTGGGGGCGCTTCGGGGCCGTCCTGGAGGCCATCGTGGGCATCTTGGAGGTCTCCTGGGCCGTCCTGGGGCCCTGTTGGGGCCGTCTTGGGGGCCTCTTGGGCCGTCAGGGGGGCATCTCGGAGGCATTTCAGGCGCTCTTGGGGCCACCTTAGTGGCCTCTGGGGCCGTCTTGGACAGTCAGAAAGCCGAAAACGACCAAACGCCGAAATCTTTCAAAGCCATACGCTGGGCCTTCCTGGAGTGATTTGGGCAACGAGGGGTGGATGTTCGACGGCTTCCTGTGTGGCCAACGGTTTGGGCCGAAGCCCCAGCGGGAGTTCTTCAGAAAAGAACCAACAATAATCAACACGCCGTGCAACCCCTTGTTGCAAGCCACAGGGGGCGGCGGATCGAAGACGCTTACGGCGAATCACCGCCGCCCCTTGCCGTTTAGGATACGCCTATCCAAGCGTTTGGGCGAAGTTTGGCACGCTACTGGACCGTGCGTTCCCCCAGCCGTTGTGGATGCCCTTCGGGGAACGCATTGGGGAAGGAAGAGGAGGAGGAGAGGGAGGAGGAGGAGGAGGAGGAGGACGAGGACGAGGACGAGGAGGACGAGGACGAGGAGAATGAGGAGGAAGAGGAGAAGGCCTCTTGGGAGCCACGTGGGTCATTCTTGGGGCATCATGGGGGCTTCCCTGGGGCCTCTTCTCTTGGGGACCTCCTTGGGCCTCTTGGGGTCCTTTGGGTGCTTCTTGGGGGCATCTTTGGCCGTCTTGCGGCGTGCCGGGCCCGTCTGACGCCGTCTGAAGCCGTTTTGGGAGCTTGCTGAGCCCTCTTGGGGCGCTTCAGGGCCGTCTTGAAGACCATCATGGGCATCTTGGAGACCTCTTGGGCCGTCCTGGGGCCATCTTGGAGACCTCTTGGGCGATCTTGGGACAATCTTGGGAGCCTCGTTGGCCGTCTTGGCCATCGGAAGGCTGAAAAAAAACAAAAAGTAAATTCCTTCGAAAACCTGGGGGACATCACTTATTTTGGCCTCTTCGGGCCATCCTGGAGGACCTCTTCAGGGTTGAGCCGTCTTGAAGGCCTCTTTGAGGCCTCTCGGGCCGTCTTGGAGGCAATTCTGGACCATCTTGGGCGAACTTGGAGGCCATCTTGGCCGTCTTGGAGGCCATCTTGGGCCCATCTGGCGCGGAAAAACGCTTGCCAACCGGCTCCAGGCAAGCGTTCCGGGTGGCCAGCGCAATGGACCGAATTCCATGGGGAGTTGGAATCACGCTACCGAGGAACCGCACATACTTTTTCCCCAACCATCCTGTGGTGTTGGGCCCTCGTTTTGAATTAACGGTTCCCGCGTCCTCTTCCTTCTTCTCCTCCTCTTCCCCCTCCTCCCACCTCCCCCTCCTCCCTGCGTTTCACCCACCCAGTACAGCGCTTCGTGGCCCCATATGGAGCTCCGCCGAAGGCCCCAGTGGCAGGGATCGCATGCGGTTCCACCCCAATTTCGGCACACTCTTCACACGCTTCGTGGCCCCATGGGGAGCTCCGCCGAAGGGCCCAGTGGCAGGGTTCGCATGCGGTTCCACATCTATTTTGGCACACCCCTCAAACGTTTCGTGGCCCCATAGGGAGCTCCACCAACGGCCCCAGTGGCAGGATTCGCATGCGGTTCCATCCTAATTTCGGCACGCCCCTCACACGTTTCGTGGCCCCATAGCGCCAAAGGCCCCAGTGGCAGGGTTCGCATGCGATTCCACCTCCATTCCGGCACACCCCTCACACGTTTCGTGGCCCCATAGAGAGCTCCGCCGAAGGTCCCAGTGGCAGGGTTCGCATGCGCTTCCACCGCCATGCCGGCACACCACTCACACGTTTCGTGGCCCCATATGGAGCTCCGCCGAAGGCCCCAGTGGCAGGGTTCGCATGCCGTTCCACCCCCAATGTCGGCACACCCCTCACACGCTTCGTGGCCCCAGAGGGAGCTCCACCGAAGGCTACAGTGGCAAGGTTTGCATGCGGTTCCATCCCCAATTTCGGCACACCCCTCACACGTTTCGTTGCCCCATAGGGAGCTCTACCAAAGGCCCCAGTGGCAGGGTTCGCATGCGGTTCCATCCCAATCTCGGCACATCTCTCACGTGTCGTGGCCCCATAGGGAGCTCTACCGAAGACAATACTCAAAACTGCGGTACTGACAACTGCATATGGTTGGGTCCTTCGACAGGCTACTACTACTACTACTACTACTACTACTACTACTACTAATAATAATAATAATAGTAATAATACTAATACTACTAATACTACGAATACTACTAATACTACTAATACTAATACTAATACTAATACTAATACTAATACTAATACTAATACGACGACTACTACTACTACTACTACTACTACTACTACTACTACTACTACTACTACTACTACTACGACGACGACGACGACGACGACGACGACTACTATTATTACTACTACCACTACTACGGCTACTACTACTACTACTACTACTACTACTACTACTAATACTACTACTACTACTACTACTACTACTACTACTACTACTACTACTACTACTACTACTACTACTACTACTACTACTACTACTACTACTACTACTACTACTACTACTACTACTACTACTACTACTACTACTACTACTACTACTACTACTACTACTACTACTACTACTACTACTACTACTACTACTACTACTACTACTACTACTACTACTACTACTACTCTCCTGTAACGCCCCTCACGGGGGTAGAAACCAAGCGTCGTGTTGTCTCCTCCTCCACTCGTGTTCTTGCGCCAGACGTCCACCCCTGAGGCTCTCGGAAACTTCCACAAGGCTCGCAGGTGGTCAGAAAAATGCCCCGAACATCGAAGACTAAGTTATTCGAGGTTTCGTCTTCGACTCCGTTCCCAGAGCCGCGACGCGGTGTCTGTTCATCGGGTCGGCGCCCTTGTTGTCGTGAAATTATCCTCGGAGGGCCTCTTTGTGACGCTCCCGAGAGAGGGGAGGAGGGAGGAGGGAAGGAGGAGGGAGGAGGGAGGAGGACGGATGGGGATGAGGCGGATCTCGCGCACGGCGCTATCGGAGCCATCGAGGCTACGGATGAGGTAGGAGGAGGAGGAAGAGGAGGAGGCGGAGGAGGAGGAGGAGAAAGAGGAGGAGGAGGAGGAAGAGGGGGAGGAAGGATTTGAAGCAGGACGGATGAGGAGAAGGATGACGACGACGAGCAGGAGGAGGAGAGGGAATGACGCCCGTCCTGGAACCTCTTGGTGTCGCCGGGGCCCTCCTAGAGCGTGCTGGGGGTCCTGTGGCCTGTTTGGCCTCTTCGGGGCCTCTTGATGCCTCTTGGAGCCTCCTGGGCCCTCTGGAGCCCCCTGAGTGTAATTCAAAATGGGTCCTCGGGGGGGCTCTTGAGATCTCGTGGGCTCTCCCGGGGCCGCCATGGGCCCTCCTGGAGCCTCCGTGGGCCCTCCAAGAACTCTCTCGCGGGGGCGGAATGATGAAAACAATTTCACGCATGGGGGCCTTTCCGTTGAGAAGGGGAGCCCGGTGCAGTATGGGTCCTCCTGGGGCCCTCCGGAGGTTTTCTAGGCATTCCCGAGGC